TTGTTGAGCCGGCTTTGGCCGAACCAACCAGGCTGCGGGGCGATCGGGCAGCCAGGCGGCAAACTAGAGCGAGAAGAGCGCCCGGGACGGGAATGGTGCCTCCAGGCCCGGTTTAGGTCAGTGAACCCTAGAACCTTTGCACACAAAGCCACACACTCCGAGTATAAATGAACGCTTCAAATCATGGGGCCGCCCTGCTGCGTAAAGAAATGGGCGGACCATGCCAAGTTGAAGGTGACTCGAGTAGAGACACCTCCTCACCTCCTCGCCTCTCACCTCCTCTTGAATGATGGGATCTTGCGGATACCGGGCGAGAAGGAGACCGCCTTTAATAACCTGTATGCAAAGTGGTGGGCAGACGGCAAGTGGATGTACGTGGTGCAGAAGAGAACGAAGGTCTTCAAGCTATTCGTAGACCTGGATTATGAGTGCGTGATGGAACCATCCGACAACGAGCTGGTAACGGTGTGCCTGTCAATCTATAGCAGGGTAGCAGAGCTGGTAGGTGCAGCTGCCAGCCGCTGCATCGTGAGCGTGGCAGACGGGACGAAGCGCCTCAAGGAAGGCGGGTTCAAGAGGGGCGTGCACATCGTTTGGCCGGACGTCTGCATAGACGATACCCAGGCCCTGGTGCTGAGGCGATGGCTGCTGGTGAGGCTGAATGATGAGTTTGGACAGAACTCGTGGGAGAAGGTGGTGGACTCCAACGTCTACAAGGGGGGCAGCGGGCTGCGGATGAACGGGTCCATGAAGATGCCCACGTGTGAGGCATGTGGGGGGCGCAGAGAGAAGAGCTGCAAGAGCTGCGGTGGGCAGGGAAAGGTGACGGATCCGCGCAGGTATGCGGTCTTCAGGTGCTTCGTAAACGGGACGGAAGACGAGGGACTCCTAGAAACATGCGTCCGGGACCTGGAGACGCAGATAAGCCTGACCTCTATCAGGGTGTTGTCGAAGGGCCGGGTCTCTGTGGTCATTCCCCCCTGCGATGCGCCCGAGATGGATTCAGGGCAGCCGGCATTCCGGCAGTCCTCCGGTGCCATAAGCCATGTCCAGGGAGGGGACCGAACGGAGGCGGTGGCCCGGGAGATCAGGCTAGCGTTCCCAGAGTGTTTCGATCAAGGAGAGCGCATAGAAAATGTACAGGAGTTTGCGGGCTCGTATTACCTGGCGCATACCAACAGCAAGTACTGCAATAACCTCGGTAGGCCTCACAACAGTAACCGGATCTACTTTTACCTGAGCGCTGGTTACATGTTCCAGAAATGCTACTGTACATGCGAAACGCTGAAGGGGAGGAGCCAGGGATTATGCCAGCACTACAGAAGCCGCGGTGTGAAGATGAGCGAGGCGCTCAGGAAGGAGCTGTTTCCGGGTGCCGGAGCAGACGGAGAACAAGAGGAGGAAGTGGAGGAAGCTGAGGAAGCTGAGGAAGTGGACGAGTGGAGGTGAGTTCCCCCACTGTTTTTGCTTCCTCCACTGTTTTTTGATGGGTGGGCTGTTGGCTGCGTGTTGGCTGGGCTGTTGGCTGCCTGTTGCTTGCTGTTGCTTGCTGTGTTGGCTGGGCTGAGAAATACATGAGAAATACATAGTCGAGATCCATGGTGGGAAGTCGACCGAGCAGCCAGTCAATTAGTAATTGGATACCACCAAATCGATTTGTACAATTCAGGTCGTATATTCACTAAACGTCATTCCTAACACTTGTTGACATCCGGTCGTCTTTATAGCTAAAACTGGACGACTCTGAGAACGTACCTACGAATTATCTCCTAGCGGTGGAATCGGACAGCGAATGATTTCTTGTTTAACTTCAGAAATGGGATTCTACGAAGACGAACATCCGTGCGGGTGCGTCGATGGTACTTGTACTCTTTCAGTTCCACCTCAGTATTACGTCGTAAAAAAATGTTGCAACCCCGAGACCTGCTCGACAAGAGCGCAGAATAAGAAAGCAGCGAGGGATATCGACACAGACCTTTGCGAACGTTTGGGATTGACGAAAGAAAGACTCTCTGAGATCCGAAGCGGACGGTAATCGTCGAACGATGCTGACGTGGCAGAGGATGCCTCCTAGGGTTCGCACACCCATCTCGTGCCTGTTGCTTGCCGTTGCTTCCTCCCACTTGTTGTGCTTGCTTGTCCTGCCCACTTCACTTGTTGCGATTCTGCTACTTTGTTGTGGATCACCGACGCACGGGCTTTGTCGTCCTTGCAGGCGGAAGAAGAAGCCGGCAAAGAAGAGGGGGATAATCATAAGCATGGCCAAGTACCTCAAATAGGAGAGGGTATATCAAACTTCACATTCCTGTACAGTCTGTGAATAGCTTGCCGTGCTTCGTCAGGCAACGATAAGTCGGCCATGTTTTACTGCCCCAGGGCTGTTGGCCGGTTTGCGATACCTCATTAGTTCGGGTGGTGCTCCGAGAGCTTCGATAGTTTGTAAAGGCGTTTGAGTGCGTTTACAACGGCGAACATACAGGTGGAGATGCGCAAAAGGGTGTGAATAGTTTGCTACATGTTTGTACTATTCAACAGCCACTCAAGCAATGATGCCAATGCGTGGAGTGACAATGAATGGATGAATGGTATATACAAGTTATTGTACATTACAGTCGCTTTACCTCCTCCTATACATTTCCCGAACCGCTTCACATGCATCTTCTAATGTCTGCCTATACTGCGGCGGGAGACCGCTCTGTGGAGCCACTGTCTCCTCGTTAGCTCCCTTGATGTCCACCCCAATAACCCACTCTCTCTTCGTGTTGTTGGCTCCATTGGGCCGGGGGTAGGGCATGTCGAGCGGAGGTGCAGTTTGCGAGATGAACACCACACCCTTCTCAGCCCACACCGGATGCGAGACGATGGCAGTCTGGTTGATGCCGAGGTGCTGCCGCAGGTGGGTAACCAGGTCATCCCTTGGCATGTACACGTTGATGTTGTTGGCGAATATGGTCAGGCCACGTCCTTCGATATACCCCCTCAGGGGATCCAGCCTCGTCATCAGACGGTTTCCGGAGCGAACGAAGTCGGGGATGGCCAGTCCATCGAAGCTCAAAGAACCCAGCTCCCTGAGGAGCCTGTGGTATGTGCGGACGGCCGCCAGGATGATCTGGGGCAGCTCCGCCTCGAGCTTGTTCCCCAGCTTGGTGTCGACGGTGACCACCGGATAGTCAAAGGGAAAGACTGCAACCCTCCGGCGCAAAGCTCCACTGGGGTCGTTCCAGCATTTGGGGTATCCAGTGTTCCCTGCCAGCCATCCGTGTGCTGTGACCGTTGTAACCTTTGCAGTCTGGTACTTAATTGCTACCGACACACTATCTCCGGCCACCAAACTCTGGAACATGCTCTGGTCCAGGTTCATGTCGTCCTTGACCTCTGGGCAATACCAGACGAACTTATCAGCTATGGAGCTCAAGCCAAAAATCTTCTCACTCTGGTTGTTCACAACACCCACGTCCCCCTCTTCGTACAACTTGTGGATCACATATTTGAGAAGCAGGCTCTTGCCTGCAAGGGGAGGGGGTCAACGGGTCAGCTATTGCTCAATCACAACGGCCCTGCTTGGCGGAAAGCAACAATCGGGAAAAGATCCCACCAGTCCAATCGAAATATGCGGAAAGTTGCGGCAAAGACCACTCAGTTTATTTTCGTCATTTCACCTGTCCCCGGTACTCCTTCCAGGAATGGCATAGTCTGCCAATCATCGCAAACCCCAATCGGAGTCATGCTCCGTCCTATGAAGCCCAACATCCAGACCATCTGGTCCTGTGAAAACCGCTGACCCTTGTCGCGGTCCTCGTTCTGACCCTCTTCGCCGCGTAGAAGTTTGTCAAAGACGGGATGGTGGACCGTTGTCTCATCCCCCCCTTCGTCGTAGATGAGAGGGGCGTTGTGGAACTTCGCCGACACCACGGCGTCGTCCAGAACCCGGTCGACGTCCTCGTATGGGATGAAAGCCTCTTTAGGAGGCTCCCCCTCTGCTCTTCCTCGGTCCCGAGCGCCCGGCTTGCACATGTCCTTCTTGAGGTCGGTCACGAAGATCCCGTTGGTAAACGAAAACACGCTCCTGTTCTTCACCATCACCGGGAAGCTTTCGTCGACTGTGATGTTCTCTATCTGCATGGCAGCGGCTCCCAATAACCCCAGCTTCTCCGTGCAGAGATCGTTTACCTCGTCACTATCCCCCTTCATGGCGACGAGTTCCTGTAAGATCGTGGTGTTGGACTTGAACGTCCTGGTGTCGTGACAGATCCCCGGAGCTGTCACGATAAACACCCGCTTCCAGACCTCCGAGGACTTCTCCTCTGATCTTCTGAACCCCTCCCTCACACACTTCTCCGTAAACCTGCTTATCAGCGACGTCAGGGGATTCCCCTGATGTTGTGTGCATTGGATCGTGCCCAGCATGAGCTCCCGGATCTGCTGAATGCGACGTTTCAGCTCCTTGATGAGAGCCTTGTCCTCCGGCCGAGTAGTCGTACTCTCCACTCTCCTAACCTCTGCCAGGCAGTCCCGCACCCCTGTGGTGAAGGTGTTGTTGTCCCAGTGAGTGAGCACGCCGAAATGGTCACCCAACCTAAAGGTCTCCTCAGGGGTCAGCGGCGCCACCAGTCCCCATTTGATGCGCAGCCCCTGCAAATCTAGGGGGGCATCACCGTCCCCTGGCTCGTTCTCGGGGGTGGCAGGTGGGTCCCCATCAGGTGGGTCACCCTCTGAGCCCTCGTCTGGTGAGCCTCCCCCGTGCTCTGACCCGCCCCCTGCGTCGCCCTCTGAGCCGCCGTCTGGTGAGCCTCCCCCGTGCTCTGACCCGCCCCCTGCGTTGCCCTCTGAGCCGCCGTCTGGTGCGTGCTCTGCCCCGCCACCTGCCCCGCCCTCTGAGCCGCCCTCGTCTGGTGTGTCAGGCTCTGAGTTTCCCCCCCTGCCACCAGCAGCTGAGTCGCCCCTATCTCCAGCTCCTCGTGTGTCTGCTGCACCGTTCTCAGGCCTTCTTGGTTCATCCTCGCTGTCATCAAGCTGCCCATGTTTGCGCTTGCGCCGTGCAAACACAGAATACTGTGCTGTGGTTTCTTCAACTGGCTCATCATCTATCCCGTTCCTGTCGTCGGAATTCTCAGAGTTGGTTCCATCCTGGGACCTCGCTGACAGCATCTCATCGCCGAGCGACTCCCCCGAACCCTCCTCTGCAGAGGCGCCTCCCCACCCTTCCATGCTGTAAAAGGTGGTGCTTTTACGCCCCTTGATGAAATGCGGCCTCTCTGTTACAACTTTGTTACATACCTTGCAAGTACTGACCAAAAACAGTCGCCGGTCGAATCCCAAATCGACGGTATACGGGCCGCGCAGGATTTCAAATTGACGGTCGCGATCCCACCGCGGGAGAATTCGGCCGGCGACTGCATCGCTCTAAACGGTATCCAGCTAGGCTAGTACACGTACTCACCTTGTAGGGTTCACGTACTCACCTTTTGGCGACAAGTCAGTCTTGAGGAGGTGAAAAGAACGCGACCTGGCTGAAGATGGCTGAAGATGCCTGGTGGGATGCCTGCGTCGCAGCTGAGAGGCAGCGGGAGGCCCGCCAGCCTGCAAAGAAGCGGAGAAAACGCTTCCTGACCCTCGAGCAACTGCGGGCAGAACTAACGGCCTTTGGCTTTGACCTGGAAGGTTCCAATGAGAAAAAGCAAGTGTTGCTGGACTTGTTCACAGAGGCAGTGCAAGCCTCAAAAACAGACGACAGCACCTCCCTGTCTTCCGGAAATTTGGCCAGAGTGAAGAACAAATGGCTACAGCAGCAGCAGGCGGAAAGGCTCAAACAAAAGGCATTGGAGAAGACCGCGCGGGAACGCCTAGAGAAGAAGCAGAGGGAGGAGGAGAGGGAGTATGCAGCAAAATTCGGGCCATGGTCCAATGAAGAATTGAGGGGCTTCTCAGATACAAAATTGGAACAGCTCAGGAGGGGCCTCAATTCAGAAGTGGAACGCTGCACGTCACAGGAGAGGGGGGAACGACTGTTGGATGCGGAGGTGTCTGTGCTCCGGGAGCAGGGGAGGAGAATCAAACGACGCGACACTGAGGGGAAGGCCACCCCCGTGCCGCTCACCAAGGACCAGCGGCTCACCAAGGACCTAAAATCAATCCTTTCCACAGTAGGAGTCGATGTACCCGCTCGCAGCACACTGGAGGAGCTCAGAAAGTCTAGCAAGAAAGCCTCCCTCTTAATCCATCCAGATAGGGTGCGGAAAGGCGCTAGTGCAGAAGAGATTAAAACACGTAGCGAGTTGTGTAAGAGGTTCAATAGCATCAGGTCTCAGCTCTTTGCAGCTTGACGCTAAAAACCAACTTGTACATTGGTGAATATGAATATATCTGCTTGCTTATACACCTACTTTGCTTACACATTGATGATGCCTGAGAATATATGATCAAATGTATGTATGCATCAACCTCAAAAATCTACGGTCCTGATGGCAGCGGACGGCCGTAAGAGGTTCTCCGCCATGTGCGAATGAAGAGCATGGCGTCTCAACTCTTTGCGAGTTAAACAATCTGTTCCCGCGCCATGTGCAACTCTGGTTCCTCGATGCAAATGTCGTCTTCTGTAGCGCACCGCGAACAAATGCCTGGCAATACCCCTCCTATGACCGGTCCCACGATAAATACCCAGAGGTCGTCCCACTTCTTGTTCGGTCCTCTGTTCCATGCAGCTACCGCTGCGCCGATGGATCTGGCAGGGTTAATGGATGTCCCGTCGATGGGAATCAGGGCCAGGTGACAGACCAATACAGCACCACCAATTGCAATCGCGGCGTGCCCGTGCATGACTCTCCGCTTGTCGGTCACGTATAGAACGACCGAGCAGAGCAGGCTCGTGGCTATGATCTCCGCGAGCAACGCCTGCCACAGGTGATGACCGGCCCCGACGTAGTTGACACCAGGATGCAAAGAATATAAGTCCGAATCGGCACATGCTCGAGCGAGCAATGCTCCGACGACAGCCCCCAACACCTGGGAGACTATGTACAAAGCAGCAGTCAGAGCGCTGATACTCCCGCGCAAGGCCAGAGCTATGCTGACCGCCGGGTTGAGATTCGCGCCACTAACATCGGCTATAGCATATACGAGTGTGCCAATCGTGCCTCCGAAAACGACAGCAATGTCGAGGGGGCTCTGAGCCGATGTAAATGGCCCGTGAATACCATTCTGATAGTTACTCACCGTGCTTATCACAATGAACAGGAACAGACTTGTTCCTGCAAATTCGGCGCCGCATGCATGTGCCAGCCTTCGAAATTTGTTCCCACCAGCCACCATGGTTACTCCTACGTCGGAAAAAATTCGCACCGCGTGCGAGCCCCCGAATTCTTCTCGCAGCGTACCCTAGATCGGGTCCCATGGTCAGGGCTATCGACGTTTTCTCAGGGATCGGGGGCTTTGCCGTGGCCCTGAGTGGGGGAATCGCGACGACTGCAGCGTTCTGTGATATCGCACCCGCTGCACGCGCTGTCTTGAGAAAGAACATTGTGACGGTTGGACAGGGTTTACACGCTGCCTGTCTACTTCACATGTGCGGAAACCATGCGAAGCTTTTCAGCACGCCTTGGGA